AACACCCAGGATAGGACTACCGGTGGAGGTTTTCCAAAAATGAATGTGTTTTTCCATCTTGAAAAAAGTTAAGTACCTAACATTATTTGACACCTGGGGGTCACATGCTGGTGTACATCAAAGGAACCAACTCTATTGTCCTTTCCAATGCATAAGAATACATTTCTAATAACTCTATTAACATGCACCAGAGTAGAATATAAATCAAAATGAAAATATCAAAAGATAATCCCCTAAAAAGTAGAGATTTCGAGACCAGTTAAAGGAAACCCAGATAAATGCAAGACATTATCAAAGTCCTTAGTTGTGTTTCATGGAATTGTTCCATTGTGGGTAATGTTTCCGTGTGGAATCTTTTTTCTTCCTTGTGGAATCAACATTTTCTGTTTTTGTGTCCTGCTGGGATTTGTTGTCCTTCTTTTGTTTTTTTTTGCTCACACAGGGCTTGGGAACAAAGTGGCTGGAAGCTAAGTGGCGTTAAAAAATTGGATTTGAACTGCTTGGGATATATTGAGTGCTTGATTTTTTGAATACTTGTTGTCTCCCTTCCTTTTTAGACCCTTTTTTAGTATTTAAAAACTCTTTTTCCTTTTCTGTCAGTTTTTTTAAACTGTTCCCTTTTTTTCCCTCAGGTTGCAGTGCTCTTGTTAGGGGGAGGGGTTAATTGAGCTCAGGTGTCTCTCATTGAGCAGGTGTATTATAAACTAGTGCATCACTCATTTTGAGCTTGCTCACACAGGGCTTGCTCACAAAGTGGCTGGGAGCTAAGTGGCGTTAAAAAATTGGATTTGAACTGTTTGGGATATATTGAGTGCTTGATTTTTTGAATACATGTTGTCTCCCTTCCTTTTTAGACCCTTTTTTAGTATTTAAAAACTCTTTTTCCTTTTCTGTCAGTTTTTTTAAACTGTTCCCTTTTTTTTCCCCCCAGGTTGCAGTGCTCTTGTTAGGGGGAGGGGTTAATTGAGCTCAGGTGTCTCTCATTGAGCAGGTGTATTATAAACTAGTGCATCACTCATTTTGAGCTTGCTCACACAGGGCTTGGGAACAAAGTGCCTGAAGCTAAGTGGCGTTTACACAATTGAAGTTTAACCAGGGCGGTTGTAACTTCTTACAGGGCGGTGGTATAAATTAAATTTAGTTTAACAAACAAGTTATTGACCGTACCACTTGTGAACCATAATTTAACACGATTTGCCGCTGAAACTTTTGGACGATTTCTTAAGGGATCGTAATATACAGGGGTACAGGTAATATACAGGGGTACAGGTACTCCTAGAATGAGATCCTAATAGGTTGGACTTGATGGACTAATGTATTTATTCAACCTCAAATACTATGTAACTATGTAACTATGTAATAAATGCATTTCAGTTTATTTTTTGAATCATCTTCTCCTGTTGTGGGAGTTATGCTGGGATCTGGACCTGTTTCTTAAGTAATAATGTAACAATATTGTGCTTGGGATGTGTCCTTTACCAAGCCCTTTATGTATTTGGAAATGTAATAGCAGACAATTTTCTTGTTAAAAGTGGAGTATGATGTGTTTTGACTAGTGTGATTAATTATGTAAATTGAGTATGACTGTGTAGCTCTTTCCTCACCTGTCTGTTAGGGCATATTTTGTGTCTGGAGACAGTATGAACCAGCTATGACTAAGGCCATCTGTAGCTGAAAGACGTTAGTCAGTTTATGATGTCAACTGTTCATATGAGATTTAATAAAGCATCTGTGTTTCTGAACCTGTGGAGCCAAACTTGTGTGTGTTAGTAAGCTGTGTTTATTTCCACAAAACACACAGACACATCAAGGCAAGACACTCTCCTGATCCCTGCTCAATGCTCCTCCTTCCCACCCTTCACTAAACTAGTAGATGGACAGTTTGTGCTAGACAGGAAGTCCAGCAAAGCAGAGATGAGAGCGTTGGAGTTAACTGTTTAGAAATATGTAAAATTAATGGTAAAAGCCGCGCTGTGTGAATGAGACCGCAAAGTGTCAGATATAGTAGATACTGACCTTGGAGTAATGTGATACAATGTGTAAAAAGTGCAAAACAAAAAAGAAACGCATGTATATAACATGTACCTTAGTGTAAATGTAATTGCTACAAAATATCCATAATGAAAAATCAAATGCACTAAATATTAACTGTGAATCAATGTGATGCAATGTGCAAAGAATACCGACAAGAAAAACGCATGTGTGTAACTTGCACTCCAGTGAAAATAATAAATGGTTAAAAAATGTCCATGATCCTGGATCTTCAATAGTCCATTAAGTAAATAGAAGATAAAACATTGGATGTAGAATAAACTTAGTCTCCTGTGACCATCAACAGAGAAATCTTCTGGAATGCTCCTCACCTTTAGCAGAGACCCACCAGGGTCGTTATGCGCTGTTCCTCTAATTAAAAACAGGTAGAGGAAGATTTCTCTGTTGATGGTCAACTGATTTCTCTGTTGATGTCGGTATTCTTTGCACATTGCATCACATTGATTCACAGTTAATATTTAGTGCATTTGATTTTTCATTATGGATATTTTGTAGCAATTACATTTACACTAAGGTGCATGTTATATACATGCGTTTCTTTTTTCTTTTGCACTTTTTACACATTGTATCACATTACTCCAAGGTCAGTATCTACTATATCTGACACTTTGCGGTCTCATTCACACAGCGCGGCTTTTACCATTAATTTTATACGTTATATCTGACCACACAGATTTCAGCTGCTGCCTAACTTGATTAGAGTAGTGGCGCGAGGTTTCACATCATTCACTGTTTAGAAACATGGCAAATGCTTAGGCAATAATTTAAAAAAAAAGTTTGCTGGGCGATTTCGGGACATTGTGGTCCTTGCAATACGAGTGTGTTGGCTTCTAGCTTCTAGTTTCTAGTTCATGGACCCAAGGGTCAATATTTCGTCGTTATTCATTTTCTGATATGCAAATGTTTTCTCTACATCTGTGTGCCGGGTTCTATATATTTGTACTTTTATACTTTTGTACACCAATAAAAATCATATGCTGAAAAAAAAATAATAATTTAAGTTTAGGGGGAGGGACAGGCTATATACAAGGATTCAAATAATTGTTTCAGATAGGAAATAGTTCAGAGGGGTCATGGCTGCTTAGAGCAAAATGTTGTTTTGTTCTGGTCAATTGAAAGTTATGCACCCAAATGAGCCATGTTTTGGGTGCCTAAAAGTAACTTACTGCCTTCCTTGTGTGTTGCTGTAAGTTTGCAAGTTGCAAGAAATTTCTGACATCACATAGAAGAACCTGGTACAGTCAATGTGTTTCAAGAAAAAAAAAAAGTCCTTCAAGTAAATTTTTTTATACAGGCTTTACTGGAATCAACTTTGGCCTGTAGATAAGGAGAGTGTTTGAATTGTGCATTTTTATATTATTTACAACCTGATTTTGTGCCTTTTGTGAGCTACTTTTATTGTTGTGGATTTGTTTTATCTTTACAACAGAAGGAAGGCTGTAGGCTGGGTTGTGAAAGAATTGTAGATGGATAGATAGATAGATATAAAGTATGACAAGATATATTTATGTTTTATACATGAAACAAATGCCTAAATGAAATAATAAACAGATTAAACTAAGTTTCTCTTGCTTGGTGCATGCTTTTTTTTACCCAAATAATTAAACTACAGCAGGTGCCAGTTATTGTCATTCAAATGATACAGTCTACTAAGCATGTTTATAACAAAAATCAAACAGCTGCTTACAAACAGATGTGACTGGTAATGTACAAGAAAGTACAAAAGAACAATGTTTGTATCTCTTGGTTCAGCATCAAATAGTATAGGATTTGATTCTGTTGGCATATATTTTTTTATGTTTAGCTTTCTGTAGAGAGGTTATGATATGTATACCTTTACATGTATGTAATAGATATATATATATATATATATAAATTTATGAAGATTTAAAGACTTTACACCTGATTGATTTTTTTCACTGACATTTTGTTTGAGTCACTGTTTTTTTATACTCTTTATATCTGATCATTGTTGCAGCTCGGCACATTTAGTTATTCATTTTTCACGTATACACACTCACAGTGGGTGTACATTCCAGTGCCTTGTAGCTGTTAGCTTGCTTATTGGCGCAGTTCATTTTCTATATTTATTATTAGTATAGGATGCTATTACTACTACTAGTAGTATCATTAATTATAATGATAATTATATGATAGCAATGTATATTAAAATTATTTTTTTTAACAATAGCCTTGTACACAAAATATTTTATTCTATATGTGCTATAAAATAATAATAATCATCATCATCATCATGTACATTAAAATTATAAGCCCTATTTTAACAATAACCTTGTTATTTTTTTATAAATGCATTATAGCAACAAATATTTTTGTTGACAGATGATTAGCTATGTCTTCAAAATATTTGTGCATCAAAACAAATATGTTTGAAAATGGTTTTGCACTAGAAAATTTCACATTAGTCAAACATAAAGTGCATTTTTTATTTCCATTTGAAGATACTGAAAATTTCCCTAGAGTTTAAAGGAAAAAGTCAGATAACAAAGTCAGATAACAATGATAATAAACCTACAAAAGAATTTTATAAGAAATCCATCTTTTACAGAAGATTATCTTTATTATTTCTTTAAGTGCAACTTAATTTCATTCTCAACTTGGTCAACCACCCATTGCAGATTAAATTGCTATACTGTTCACCTTTTTTTGCTTCTTTTTAACTTTCTTCTTATTTTTCCCTTAAAAATTATGTTCAATTTAAAGCAAAACTGAAATCAAATTTTATCAACATGTTTCATCAATCTATTTATCTTTTTTCTTTTCTTTTTCGTTTCTTGTTTGTAGTTATTAGAGATTGGAAAGGCGTTTTCTATGTTGTGCTCATGCAATTAATCTCTCTCCTTTGCAAATCCTTAAGCCTTTAACTATGCATTTCCTATTGACCAGAATTCACATACTCCAGATAGCCTATCGAGATGAATGTATGAATTTCTACAACCTGTAAGTAAATAGTGTCAGAACATAACAGACTAATAGTGATGAAATCCTAATGTAAAAAAGCAACAGAAATATGAGAAACATATGCAGATTATTAAAATAGTAATATTCTTTACTATAAAACAATTCTATAAAGATGGAAAAAGTAAACTTGTAAACACATGGCTTTCTCATTTTAACCACTTGAAGACCAGGGTGTTATTTAAACCCTCTTCCTGTCCAGGCCATTTTTCAGTATTCAGCGCTGCAGTACCTTGACATTTATTCAGTCATGCAACGCCGTACTGAAATTAATTTTATACAATTTTTGGGGACACATAGAGCTTTCTTTTGGTGGTATTTAATCACCACTGGGGTTTTTATTTTTTACTATATAAAGAAAAAAAAATATAGAAAATATTGAAAAAAAGTTTTTCCCTTTTATTACACAATTTTTTGTCAAATTATAAAATATAGGGTCACGTTGGGTAAATAGATGCCAAACATGTGAAGCCCAACATTTTGAAAGAAAACTACCATCCCCAAAATTGGCCAAGCAATGCTTTAAAAGCGACCAAAAAATAGATCAAGGCAATCAGTGATAACTCCAGTGTTTGTTCTGCATAGGGAAGGATCGGTAAATATTACACATATTTACTGATCCTCCGCTCTCAATTCTGAACCACTCAGCCATCCTGAAACTGACAGCATCTCTGCTCTCTCCTCCTCGCTAGGGATCCTGAATGTCAGTGATCTCTCCTCCACCCCCCGCCAGCTTCAGCAGGCTGTTTCTTCTCGGATACCCACTGCCTTTGCCCATACAGATGAGGGAAAACAGCGGGGATCTGAAGGGAAACATATCAGGGCATGGATCGGCTCCAGGCGTGGAGGAGAGAGCAGGAGAGGCATAGTAGCTGTGGCAGCCGGCAGCGGCTGTGCTGGTGGGGGTGGTGGAATTTTCTATTTTAAGCTATTCATTTACAGAGGGCCATCAGAGGAACCCTTCTGTTAAAAGTTCATGGTCACTAAAGTGACCATGAGCTTATAGCAAAAGGGTGAAAACCACTTACTTATGGCATACTGAGCTGGCCAGCTGGAAGCAGTTATGTGCCCCTGAATGCCTTACGTCAGTGGCAATGAAAGGTTTAGATTTCCTGTGTTTATGACAAATTTGACTCTCTGAGGTCAATGTAGTTTTTCAGCTATTATGAAAGTTCTGTAGGCTTGAAATACTTACTACCTTTAGCTTAGACACCCCTTATAAGACAAAAACTTTTCCAGTTGCAGCACTATTTAGTTAAAAAAATGTGTGCATGTGCCACCATCTTCGATCTTACCATTATACACAATTAAAGCAAATCAAACTTAAAGTGTAGAAGAAGTAAATCAATAATTCTACCACTATATATACTATACATGTTTTCAGCCGGTCTTGAACAACATTAATGTGCTGCAATACTGTAATCCGCCTATCCCTATAGGAGCTTTAAACAAATTAATTAAATTTTTAGAAATCGTATTTGGGAAAAAAACCTCAAGGATCCGTTTGGAATACTTGCAGTAGCCTAAAGATTAAGCAAGCCTTGCAGTTCCGAATCCATGCCTGTACTTTTTAGCAGCATAGCTTCACCATCTGGCTGGTTGGGATTCGGCTGAATCCCTGATTCTGTCATATATAATATTGGCGACTATAATTAGGGATGTGAGCCCCTTCCGGGCACTGGAAACGTCGGTATATACAATGGAGATGTGCTGGTTTACCCACTTTGACATTGCTAAAGAAAGTGTGGAAGGTGACTAAGAGAATGCTTGATATTACTGGCTATACTAAATATACATCCTTGTGGTCAAATGATCAGTTACCAGAATAAGCCGAACTGTAGGGTTTTTTTTAATTGAAGGGGGTGGGAATAGTTACTTTGTTGCAGTTATACTCTGAAGGAGTTTTGAAATCATTTGATCCATTATGTTCTGCATATCTGCTAGTTCGCCAAATTATTTTCCAATACTTACAGTTAAGACATGCTTTAGCTACATCAAATCCTACTGCATTCGTACAGATAATTTCTACTCCTATAATAGACTATGTAGTTTAATCTACACTGCCACTGTCAGAATAAAAAAATTAAAAAACAGGGAATCGGCCGATATCAGGCAACTGCCTGCTGTTTAGCTTCAGTTACTGGTGCAGCTAGATGAAAACAGAATATCAGTACCTGATATCGGCCTGAAAGGTGGCAAATAATCTGTATTGTTACTGAAAAATCCATATCGGTCGATTCCCTAATACAGAGGATCAAATTGCTACTAACACCAAATCAATTCACCCTATATCATAATTGTGGTACCTGCTAGATAGTGATTAGACAGTAATCCAGGGTGTTAGCCACATGGTGTATTTTTTGGGGGGAGTAATCATCTACATTAGAAATATTGAATTATGAAAGCATTCGACAAGACAAACTGGGGCTTCTCTAGAGCTGTCCTTGTCCTATTTGACAATTGTCTTAACTGAAATTAGTGTATTGCAACTTAAGCCAATAAACAAATCACTTATGACAATAATTGCACTTGTCTGGTAAAACAATACAAATATTGTTATCTATTTTCTTATATTTCTACATGCTGAGTAAAACTGCTTGCTTGTAAAGCCTAATAGGAAAACAACAGTGGGAGAAATGTCTGGCTGGGAGACTTCCAGCAAAGACACTGTGCAGATTAAACTACACAGCAAAGATCTTGAGGAATCAGTGGCAGTTAACTATAAAGCATGGGAAGTTTGTTGGCAAAAGGTGGAGCAATTAAGGTATAGCTGTACTTTAAGTATAATTTTAATTTAACAGACATCATGGGGTTTTCTGAAAAGTGTTGATGTAGTGCAAATTGAATTCATGTGTTTTTACTAAGCCTCGTGCAGATTTGCTGACAAGGAATAAGCTCACAGGAGGAGAGAGATGAGCTTATTAGTATGCTGCTACTCCTTCACTGTCCATTCACAGACTGTCATAAAGAAGGTGTCAGCAATGAATTCCTTAACTGTACCTGAGAAAGTGGTGCTATTCTCATGGCTGTGGTATGTGCAGACCTGTCTGCCAGTTTAGTTTAGCCTCTCTGTTTTTGAGCATCACCCATAACACTTTACTCCTTTTCCGGTGTGTTTGCATTAAAACAAACAAATCAATGTTACACACTACCACTGACCTACTTTTTTTCACAATGGTCCACTGGCAATGCCAGTAGTTTTACAATGTGGTCAGAATATTTAGTTTTGTAAGCTGTGGTGCTGACTTGGTCTACTGTTTTGTCTGTTATGTTTCTTTTTTTAACTGCTCCAGAACGGTTTTAGTTTTTATATTATAGGATGGTCACAGATTACCTCTGTAATGCTCAATACATAAACGGTGAACCCCATGGGTTATTGGGTCAGCAAACTGGACCAGTGGCTGAACTGGCCCAGTTTGTCAAAATAGTGGTCTCCAACCCACCTTTCAGCCTTTGGAAAAACTTTAAATGCCATAATACCTAATTAACAGGATTGTGGGACTAGTATTAATCTGTGAATCCATTTATGGTCCACTTTGTGCACATTGCCAGTGGAGGAAAGTTTTAAAGACTTGCTCATCCCTAGTGAGCATCCCTATAACAGACAACAAGACATTAATCTGGTTTTATTCAGTAAGGCACTTTTATTGATACTGCAAGCCTTTATTGCATATGTGTGAGAATTGGATGTTTTACAGCGTTTCTATGACTACATTTCTTATAGCAAATACAAAAAAGTCAGAAGAAGAATTGTAAGAAAATGTTCTAGATTTTATCAGTAAAATAAAATCTGTAATGGACAACTTTCATAACTAGTCATTTAAGCTACGAAGTTGAATGAAGTATAAGCCTTAATCAATGTTTGAGATTTCAGTGCAATACATTTCTACATGACGGTGTTTTTATTATAGCCTAGTTAGGTGTGCACTGTCTAGTCAAATCATATCCATTAAAGTTTATTGTGTAAAGCAATGTAAGGTATGACTTTGTTATGATAAATCAATTCTAACAGTGACAACCAATCTAAATAGACTGTTAATGCTAAGTGACAACCACTGCATCTAGATGATATATGTTAACACTTGTAATAATTCTTTTATTTAGCCACTCTTAACTTACTTCTCTCATTTCATATTAATAATATACAGTTATCAATATTCCACAAGAACAAGCAGAAAAGACTGGCAATGTTGAAGCTGAGGTAGATTTTACTCAGACCATTCTTGTTTTAAAGTACAGAAATAGTAGTTGCAAAACATGTGAATCAACTTTATTGCTGAATACAGAAAAGCACACATTTGCATAGCTGCATATTAATGCAACTGGTCCATTTATCAAATCTTTTCACAGGTTACACTTTAGTGTTCATTAAGAAATAGCCACAGAAGCACACAACTGTACTTTTAAAGGAGATATTATTTATTGGCTGTGCTTAAAAATATACAACACAAATAAATAAACAACCAGCTCTTTGCTCTAAACACACACATGCACAATTCAAATAAACAAATACAAATTCAAATAGAAGGAGAAATTTAGTAAGGAAAACATCATCAGATGCAGGCGTCAATACACAGTCATTAGGATTGCAATTTGTATGTGTGTTTGTGGACACTCGCCCTGTAACATTGTCAGATTACTGCAATTAGAGGAATAAAAACCTTTCATTTTGCTGAAATTTTAGTAAAAATTTAAAAATTTCAGTGAAATTTGCCAGTTTGGTGAAATGCATTAAAGTCAAAAGAAAAAAATATTTTTTAAACATGCATTATTTTCTTTCTTTCTAGCTCATGCATCTAAATTTTGAGGAAAACTAGTTGTGTGTGAATGAAGCCTAATAAGACAGCAATAGCTATAACAACTGGAGATACATAATAATTTAATAATCTGTGCCACCAGCAGAATAAATGTATATGTTGAAATCCTGCTGCACTGCTTTCCGCAAATCCCCAAACCAGTGTAAGTGCTCGAAAAGACTGCAGATGGCAAAAGCAAAACTTGTCAGGCATGTCAGCAGCACACCGTAGTAGAGTGAAGAAGAACGTCTATTTATTGACGCATATTGTCATCACATGAATGCAACGTTTCGGGGACAAGCAGGGTCCCTTTCATCAGGCTTAGTATGGTCAGCAGAATCATCACACTTGACACACTATACCACTTTTTAGTTTTTTACTTTTTTTCTGTTACTGTCCTTAAACAAGGACCTAGTACTGTCAGGGGCATAACTAGAAATCAAAGGACTCCATTGTAAAAAAAAAAGAAGTGGTTGAAAAAAAACATTTGTTTTAAAAAAAAAAGCTTAACCAAAATATTGTTACAAATCATGACTGTGACCCCAGTGGGTATTGTTATGAGGGATGTTTCATGATCAGACATAATAAATAATAATAAATGTTTCCTAACATAATGTTAAAAAAAACTTTTTTTTCCCCAAATTTTCTGTAATTTTTCCTAATTATAGTAAAAAATAAAAACCCCAGTGGTGATTAAATACCACCGAAATAAAGCTCTATCTGTCCCCAAAAAATGGTATAAAATTCATTTCAGTACAGCGTTGCATGACGGAATAAACGTCAGTCAAAGTACCGCAGCGCTGAATACTGAAAAATGGCCTGGCCAGGAAGGGGGTCTAAACACCTGGTCTTGAAGTGGTTAAACTTCCAGCCTTTTTCTTTCACATGTTATGTTTTGTATAAAATTGTCTGACCGAGAGGGGTGTAGACTGGGGCATGAACCATCGAGAACCTAAACCCCCCGAGAAATATGTCCCCCAAGATGGGTATCCTAATGAAGTTTCTACATCTGGCTCAAAAGCAACATTAAGTTCCCTGCTAGAATTATACATCCACATGCAAATTATTCTAATTTGGATAGAATGTGGGCCAAAAATTCCACCTGTCCCGCATTCGGAGCATATATATTCGCCAGAGTGCAGGGCTTGGAGCCCAATGAACCCTTCAAAAATAGATATCTACACATGGGTCTACCACCATCTCAGTCAATGTGAAGGAAACACCTTTGTGTAATTCAATGGGCAGCCCCTTAGACTAATTAGAATCATAAAGGATATAATACCACGTTGCAAAGTACCTAGAATGTAATCTCGTATGAGCCAGGTGCATTTCGTGTATAAATACCATATCCGCCGAAAGGGTCTCCAACTCTCGCATCAATTGATGATGTTTGCCCCGGAGTATTAAGACCCCTAACAT